GAACTCTTAAAGTTCTACCAATCAACTTCACTCCAACAACATGTGACCTAGAAAATGGGTTTCATTTTTTCGCTAAACCAACCGAACCAGTCATTACCACCTGTCTTTACAAAAAATATCATACTTATTTTGCTTCACAACATATTACTATTTCATTACCTTCTCAAGCTACTCTAGAAAAAATTTCAAATGTATCTAATTCTATAGAAATTGATTTTGATATCAAACTATTCAAATCTCTTAAAAGTCTTCAAAGATCCAAATTCCAACACAAACATGAAATTACTCACCCATTTCCCACTTTCTGTAGTAATATCAGAAAAACCTCTACTGAGTCTATTTCCTTCAAACCATTCTTACATCACGCACATACATGCATTATATGCAAAACTAAAAACTTACCTTGCATTATTATTAATGACAATAAATACTCCTTAGATCCACAAGTCTTAATCTTTACAACAAGTGAAGGAAGCTTTCCTGTACATACACACTGTATTCACACCTTAAAACTTAAATACCCAACCTCATCTAAACCCATGAATTGGAAACAACACAACCTATATTGTAAAATTAAGTGCTTACAACTAACTGCTGAAGAAAAATATATATTCTTCAAAAAATTTATTACAAGATTGCCAAAAAAACCAAACCCATTAATGAACTCAAAGATAAAAATCATACCAAAAACAACAAAACAAATAAAGACTCAAGTAATACTAATGAAAAACCAAAAGATTAACAAAAAGGAAAAGAAAATGAAAATGCACAAAAACATGATACAACAAATGACTTCGATTGGTTTTTAAACTATCCTATTACCTCTGAAATAAAGAAAAATAGTAAACTAAGTACACCATTAGTACTTCAAGTCTTCTCACTTTTAAAATCATATCTTATAAACTTCAATTTAGGCCAAATTATTCCAACTGAACCAACAAACACAAAACCTAACAACAGACCACCCGCTAAATATTCATTCACTTATATACTTAACAAAATGGCTAATGACAAACCAAAATTTCTAACTGACTTCATTCTTGAAGCTAATCCTGAATTTGACCAATCTAAGCCTATTCCTTTCAAAGTCTTAGTTGAAACCCTTAAAGATTTAATTGCTAAATTTATAACAGTACTATTTACCCAATTAGACTATTTACATATCTTCTGATCACATTACTTCATCCCACCATATTCAGCTAATAACAGAAAAAAAGTTGTCATCAATATAGCATGTCTCCACTTATACTTAAACCACACTTATAAAACTATTAATTTTGAAAGTTTCATGAAAAAACTCGACATCAAGCCATTACACTTTATTCTAAACTTCGATATTGATTATGATGCAAATGAGCTACTCTTTGATATACAAAATGACAACAGGTTTAATATTAAAGTCAAGCTAAACATCCTTGACAAAAAATTTGAAGATGGTTTCAAAATCCCATCACTTAAACCCCACACTAAAACTTATAAAACATGGTTCTTAAAATTTTTTGAAAAATACAAAATTCAATTTGAAAAAATCGATCAACAAAAAACAAGCAATTATATTAAAATGTTAATATCTCAAAAACTTGTTGAAGATTGCAAAGAACTCTTACCAGAAACTTATTCACTTCCTAACATGTTACTTACACTTTAAGATCGCTCTAAAGCCACTTTCAAAGCAGCACTTCATCATTTTCATAAATGTCATAGCAAATCTTGTAACCTACTACCTGACAATACAAGACTTTCTTGAAAATATCTCTAAATTTTACTTTTCACAATCATTTAAATCTCATTCAGTATTAGAAACCAATTCAAAAGAATAGGAATACCCTCCATTAGATTATAAATTATTTCAACTAAACCAAGAACTAGCAGCAACCTTTTCAAAACCAACACTAATAACTGAATTAAGAAAATTAGCTACATTAACTGAAGAAAGCTTTGCATCTTTTAACAATGTTAATAGCGAAGTGGCTTGAGTTACTTATTATTTCTATTAATATTTAAAAAAATACTTATATACAGCAGCTGAAAATAATGGAATTCAAGAGCTATCTAAAGGAAAAGCTCTTGAAAAAATTATAAACTCCACTTCTGACATACACACACTAGCTTGAATAATTACCTTCTATGAAATTCGCTCTCAATTTAAAATATCTCTTAAACAAACAAGAATCGAGTATGACAAATTTTACTACCCAGAAGCAGAAAATCTTCTAATCAAACATCTTAATATTTCTATCTCAACTCAATACAATGATATGCTCTTTTTACAACCTAAAAATGAAACTGAAAATGAAAATAAAGAAGAAAATTCAAATTTAGAAGAAAACTCAACCTCTACTACTCAGGATACCAGCTCCGACAATTCTACCTCCCAAAAAGAAATACTTAACAACTCTACCCAGCACCAAAACTCTCCTTTTCAATAAGTTCTTCTACAGATAACATTAAAGCAACTGCTGCCTCTAAAATTATGATGTTCTTCACTACTAGTGGGCCATTCTTAGAGGAGAATGATGACAGTAGGCAGGCAGTAAAGCCTATTGTAGTGAAAGACTAGGAATATGATGGCCAGATCCAATGTACAGGACAGGCTATGGTATCCTCCACAGCTGTGCAAGCCAAGCTTAAAATGGTGAGCAACTCTGTAAAAAACATCACAAATACTATTTCTACTTCCAATGCTTCAACTTCTACAGAGATAGACAATTGCTATAAGAAATTTTTAAAATATTACAAACTATGGTTCATGTGGCTTTAAACCTCCAATCACGTGACTTTGTTCACTTTTCGCAGAAAATCAGGTGATATGCATACGACCAATTAAAATACGAGATTTGGCCATGTATTTTTAGATTCAACAATCTCTTCTCTTTTTTTTTTTTTTTTTTTTTTATGCGATGCTCTTTTTTTTTTTTTTTTATTCAACACACACCTACTACTTACCTTTTTCGACGTCATAATTTAGTGTTTTAAAGAAACGGTATTTTTTAATACGATAATGGGGTTTTTTTTTGATAACGTTTTTTTTTATAACCTGAAACGTGTATATGCACTTGGCTTGGAGGTGAGTTAATCATACTTACAGTACCACACAGTTGAAAAATTATGTTTATTGATCGAAAATGTGATTGTGTAGTTCCTCATTGTAAAATAATTTGGTGGTTATCCTACTTAATCATCTACCTGAAGTCTTCTATGGGATTTGAACTGTTTTACGGCCCTCTCCGCATTCTCTCCTTCTAAACCTGTTGCATATGCCTCAATGTATCTCCAAGCCTTTCAGCTAAATCTTCTGATCATAGGTAATGGTATGTTGCTGAGTATTTCTGGTACACGGATTTGTAGTTGTGCATAAGAATAATCACATTGTTGACGAGCAATTCGTTTGGCGGCATCCCAGAAACGCTTAATGAAGTTGCATTCACAGTGAAACTTTGGATATAATTCAAAAATATGCCTGGCAGCTTCAACAGTCTCTGCAATCGAAGTTTTTTGTTTCAAAAAGTCTGGTTCCATCGTAAGTATGTGTCTTGTGCAACAATTCGGAACTATATAAATACAAGTATGATTTTATATTAATTATAAACTTTCATAAAATACAAAATTTTTTCATACCTTTTTTGTCATCTTCTTTTCTTCTATAGTCCAATTTTTGACCAGTCCATATGCCTCGTTCTTCCAAAATCTGATATAGCAAAAAAAAAAAATTAAAATTTATTAAAAAATTTTTTTTTGATTGTAGCTTTTATATACGTACCTTTTTGATTTCTTTAAATTTTACAATACCATCATTTTCATCCAAAAAAAACATGGGCTGCTCAATTTTTATATGATTATGAATAAACCAATCATCTTTATATTTAAATTTATCTTTGACTTTTGGATAAAAGGTTATTCTGGAATACACAAGCACATTAAGTGCATACGCATTATGGTTGATACTCTGGTCGAAGCAAAATACACCTTCAAAAAAAAAAATAAATAAAAAAAAGAAATAAAAAAAAAAAAAAAGAAATAAAAATAAAGATAGATTTGAACCATACCTATGCATCCTGAATGGAATGCATTAAAGATCGGTATCGCCTTTTCATGAAGCTGTTTAACCATATTTTTGCTTTTCCAATAACCATCGGCATGTTGCCCTGGTTTGATAATAACTCGAGCTTCTCGTTCTAGTCCAAGTCATGTAGCATCAGCCTCTGTAAGGCATAGAGGGCCATGACATGGGCACAAGAAGTCACTAACCATAATTGTAGACTCTTGGCCTTTTTTTTTGATAATGGATTCTTTATCTTCTACCCAAAAAGATGAATTATCATCATTAGCATAAAAGTAAGCTTCATCGTGGGTAACCAAGACATGATGAGTATCCCAAATTTCAAGCTGTTTTGGTGGTATAACAATTTCCATTTCATCACCATTATATTGCTTCATTTTTTTTCTATAATTCATCATTCTTGATGCCCATTCTTTACGATATTCTTTCACATCTTCCCATTCATGACCGTCAAAATAAATCTAAAAAAATATCAATTAATTTTAAAAAAAAAAAATTAATATAAGGGAGATAGGGGTATTGTGGTCAAGTAAAAAAATATCTTTCGATCTAGTGATTAGAATTAGATAATTTTTGCACTATTCGATTCGTCTCTTTGAGACAAATCAAATGATGTAAAAATTATCTAATTCTAATCACTGGATCGAAAGATATTTTTTCACTTGACCACAATATCCCCATCCACAATACCTCCATCTCCCCTACTATGTACCTGTTGGCCTATAGTTTTTTTGTGAAAATCCTACAGATGCATAAATTTTCTCGTAGTTGTTTCTGATATAGTGATTGGTACTCCAAGCAATTTAGGAAAAATATTTGTTTCTAATTCTTTTTTTAATGATAAAGGTGAATGGTCTTTTGGTGGAATAGAATGTAACCATGTACAAGCCACCAATTTGAGGTCCTCATCATCAAGTAACGATTCCCTTTTTGCGTGCTTTCCTTGTTGGTGACTAGGTAAAGTGCCTTGTTCAAGAAAATCTTTCACCCATCCTCTAATGCAACGAGACATATATTCCGTATTTTGAATGTCCTTCCAAATAGCATCTGCGATTTTTTCTGAAGCTTTTATTTTTTTTCACCATCTAGAAGTAACCTAAAGTAATGAAAGATAGATGTTAACCTTTGTACTTCATAAGGTTGGAATTTAGCTAATGTTTTTTTAGCATTTTGAAGATTTCGGAGCTGATTTTTCAATTCATTATAGCGGTCCTTTATTCGTTGCATTTGTCATTGAGATTGAGCTAAAATTTCTTCACGGTATGATAGAATTGGCACTTTTCCTTTATCCCGTGTTTTCACACCCCACATCTCATCAAGAGTCCGCATCTTTTTAGCTTCGTGTTGAAGTTGTTTCTGTGCTTTCCTTTTTTTCCAAAGGTTTGTTCTCGAGTTTCCTAAGAAAATTATATGATTTATGAGTAGAATGATTTAAACCAACTTGTAAGCATTAATTACGGCAAATTTATGAAACTAGAATATTTTAACTAACCATGAAGTTCGTCTTTTGCTATTTGTTTTTTGGTAAAATTATATAGATAATGTTTAACCCATCTTTTCACGGAAAGATGAGTTAGACGTTATCTATATGATTTTTACAATGAGAAATATCAAAAAACAGAGACATACTCCATAGTTAGTCAAAATACTCTAATTTCATAAATTCGTCGCAATGAATTATATACCAGTATAGAAAATTGATTTCAATTTTATATCTGCTTTTTCATGCTATTCTATTGCTTTTAATGCATAATTTTGAATGATTTCATGTATTACTTCAAACAGTTCCCAGTCTTCAGGAAAGTCCATGTTTTCCTCTATATTATTTGTAATTTCGGGTTCAGCTGCAAAGATACCATCTTTATTATGATTCTTGTTAGATGTGATACGAGATTTAGCATTTGGGTGAGGCATTATTGTACTGAAAAGGTATGAATTTGAAAATCAAATCCTTTTTTTTTTTGCATGTATATTTTTAACGTAACTTAATTAATCACAGCCTTTTTAGGAAATCGATTTGACAGCAGAGATGCGTAGAAGCATGAGATAGGCAAAAACAAATCTGCACTTTGAGTTTAAATACCATATTTAATTTTCTTTATTAAATTCTTTTAATTTAATACAAATGGTTTAAAATTCCAAATTTAACCGATTTTTATCTAGCATATATACTTAATTGTTTTACATTATTATTGATATCTAAACTTTACTATTACGATATGATATTGGAACTTAAAAAATGCCACATTTGTAAAATTTGTACACACTGCTTGCAAGACCAAAAGGTTTGACAGGTTACGACTAATTAACATCAGCACATATTAGTAAATTTTAATGTTAAAGAGTTAGCTTGGAAAGAGTTAAAGGATTTAGATGAAACTTGTACCAGAGCACCTTCATATCGAAACGATCAACCTGTTACGCATTTTTCGGGTAGGGATTGGAATCGCCCAAAATTTTCTTAGCCGTTTAATCATTTAACCATATTGTATTAATCGTTTATTCGGCCAACATTAAAGTTGTCTTGGCATCTATGCATAAAAATAAAAAAACCTTAAACATTGCTCATAACAACATAATTTGGCCTGCACTATAAAAAATTTTTATACGGCATGCATATCACGTGGTACATGTGACCAGCATAGAGCATTTTTATTGGTCAAAATTAGAATCATATATGTTCACATTTTTAAAATTTTTTAATAAAATGTCCAAGTTTAAAAGACTATTGTTTTATCAGTTTAGCTTTAAATTTAAATTTAAACCACAAGTTTTGTTCTTAAAAACAAGAAGAACAAATCTTGTGGATTAGTTTTATAATTTATAAATTTTTAAAAAAGTAGTAGTATTTTTTGTAAAGCTATTTTTTATGGAGATTTAAAGCCACAGACACCATACCTCAAATACAGGAACCTGTTACACTTATCAAATTCACTCAACATCTACACCAAAATTCTTTTTTTAATCTAATTAAAATATCTATAAACTTCATAAAAACAGAAACAAATGTTTATTTAAATAATATTGAACCAATATTACCAAATCATACTATATTAGACCCTTCTCTCTATAAAACACAAGGTCATCTATCCTTACTAACTATTTCAAAATGAAAAATACCTGATATAAACTTTATCTCCTTTACCAAGACTAATTAATTATCTAATCTAACTACCTTAATACCATCTCTAAACACAGTACCAATAATCACAGCTGAACATATCCCCTCTTCTGCTAAAATTGACCTAACAAACACAAATGAACTAGAAGTTGCAAACAATATAAAATCAATTAAAATACACTTACTTAATGTCAATGGCCTTTTAGACAATTACAAACAATTAAGTTTAATTGACTACATCTCAGAAAATCAAATAGATA